AACTATCAGTGACTGTAAAGAAATTTAACGAGGGAAGGAGATAATTAGACTGTTGTGGGTCCTCCTTTGATGGTCAACCTTGTGATAGGTGGTGATGTTCGATCCGATGAGACCCAGGAAGCCCACCTGAGAAAAGACAGGAGAAGGCAAAGTACAACCCTGGAAGAGTCCAGACAAGAAGCAGGGGTTGGCAATTCAAGGTAGATATGGTCTGAAAACAGTTTTTAGAGTACTGAAGAAGACCTGTGGTGAAGGCAGAAGCCAAAAGATTTGCGGCTGACTCAGGTCACCCTGGAAAGACAAAGAAGCCAGGAGGCCTGGTTCAGGATGATGCAGGAGCAAAGGCAGAAGTCAGGCTGAATATAGGGTTCCCTCAGAAGTCCCACAATAAAGGCAGATACCAAAGGCAGACCAGTGCTGGATCTCAGAAATCAGCACTTCCTGGTAAGTCCAAGAACCAAGAACAGAATTCATAAGCAGTGGGCTGGCTAGATTAGGGTAAGGATAGAGGGAGTTTCCTCACCTGGCAGTTCCCTATACAAATGAAATTATAAGTATAGTTCTTATCCCTACATGTCAGACATACTCCTAATGATATACATAGGGACAGCTAAATATTGTCTTCTTACTAGCTTAGAATTGTCCTTGAAGAGATAAAGCCCAAAAAAGAAGTGATGTAAAAATGAATACTTACATGGGCCACTGTCTCACTTCATCTAATTGATTCTGATATTAGAGTCAAGATGTACTAACTCTAATTGGTGGTTAAAAAAAAAAAAAAAAAAGATATATTATAAAAAAAATTGATACTCACATATGGCAGATGAGCAGAACACTACAGAGAAGGGAGGTAGTGTAAGGAGTGAAGGTTGAACTTAAGAGTCAGAAAAAACCCAAGTTTGAATCCCATAGTCCTTCACTCAAGACACAGCTAGTAAGTATTAAAGTTAGTCTTAGAAACTAGATCTTCTGATTCCCGTACCAGAGGCCTTTCATCCATGTAATGATCTAGCTTGGTAATCATTTCCTCAATCAGTGTAGGCACTCCCCCCAGCAATTCAAATCACAAGTCATCCACATCTGCTAATCCTATACAACTCTTGTCCACACTCTCCCATAAATCCTCCAAAGGGGGTCCACCTAAGATACTGGGGATTTCCTCTAGCTCTGTTGACCATGTGAATACCAAAAGAGACAGGCTGTCTGTCAATTATGCCACTCACATCGTCTAGGATCACAGGAAGAATGATTATTATTAAAAAGAGGAGGCCTTTATTTCATTTGGGGTCATTTCAATTTACTTGGAATCATTAAAAGCATTGTATAATTTCCCCAATATTTAACCATTTCTCCTCCAGTTCAACTCCAGGCCCCGTTCACTAGCAATTTGCTATGTCTGTCTCATGTATATGTTAATAAACTAGTTTTACAGCTAGTCCATCTGATTGTATAGCATAGTCTGAACAATAAATAGACGAGTAATTTTCATCTTTTTCTTGTATAGTTAAACCAAACTCTTTTAAGTGATTATGGACCTCATTTAGGAGGATTTGTGACATTCTACATCTTAATACAATCAGCAACAATTTCATTAGCAAACCAGAAAATCTGGAGGACCTCATCTCCTATAAAGAGTTCTTCTTTCATCTGGATTATGAATTTAATATCCTCCATAATAGAAGCAAATACCTTTGGTAACCATACATCTTTTACTTTATGCCTTGCTTTATGCCATCAGTGGGGTGTGTGACTAAACAAAGTTATTTATGTTGTTACATATTTCAAGGAATCTTGAAATATAATCTGTATGAATTTGACATATGTATGAGAGATCCATTATAGGAGCAGGGCCCTTATAGTACATTTAGTTATAGTCCCCAAACAATAAATACAGAAGGATCTATATACTACATTATTCAATAAATCTTCTGACTGTAAAGATCAGTGGTAATATTATTTGTGAAAGCCTGCATGTCCCCTTTCTTATACTTCGATCAAGGATGATTTCAATTATGTGTATAGATTATTCTTTTCTAAATTTTGAAGAGATGGGAAATCAGGCATATAAAAGTAATTACAGATATTCTTTCAGTCTCCTTTTTTTAAGTAATGATAAAGTCTAACATTGTTTTCTTTCTTTTTTTTTTTGAGTGAGGCAATTGGGGTTAAGTGACTTGCCCACAGTCACACAGCTAGTAAGTATTGTATGTCTGAGGCTGGTTTTGAACTCAGGTCCTCCTGACTCCAGGGCTGGTGTTCTATCCACTGCACCACCTAGCTGCCCCCTTAACATTGTTTTCTATATTCAATCTACTGTCTCTTTTTTCAGTTACCTTCATAATTGATCCTGCAATGTCCTAAAAATTGTGAAACCTCCAGCATGGATCTACTTTCTATGCACTTGTTCTAGGTCAGTGGCTCTTCTCATTTTTTTTTTCTCATTGACACTTCCTCATGCAGCATATTTAAGATTCTGATATTAGAGTCGAGATGCACTATTTAATTGGTGGCAAAAACATATTATAAAAATATTGATACATATGGCAGATAAACAGAACATTATGGAGAAATGAGGTAGTATGGTATGTAAAGGAAAGAGAACTTAAGAGTCAGAAAAAACCCAAGTTTGAATCCCACTTCTTTCACTAACTAGCTATGTGTCCAAGTATAAATCACTTCAATTCTGTACCTCAGTTTTCTCATCTATTAAATAGATATAATACCTATAGTATCTACCTCAGAGGGTGGTTACAAATTAAACAATAAAAGTGCTAAATATACGCTCCCAAGCTATTTGAAAAATAACCCCATGCTTCATTATTGTTCCAAAGAAAAGCAATTGTGAAAACAATTATAATAGCTAAGTATAAGGAGGAAGAGTGGTATTTTGGGATTTTTGAGGCTATCCAAAGGCTACATTAGAGGATATACCCATGTGAGGTAAAATATGATTGATCAGAGTTGTATTTATTAAATGTTAAAAAAAGCAGACTATGCATACCCATTTACAAAACGTCCTAATCTAAGTAAAACAGTACTGCTCCTCTTAAAACTGAAGGTCATACAGAACAAAGAAAAAGATTTAGAATAAACAAAACTGAACACAATAATCCATCAAAAACCAAAGCTGTAGGCTGAGCAGTTCCCATGGAATTTTTCCATGAAGTCACACAGGGTTCAGTGTGAATTGCCTATTTATCAATGTTGTTTTGCATATAAATTGAGGGTGAGAATCAATTCCCTGAAGAAAACACTAAGATTTTCTTTAATAATGCAAATAAAGTATACTTTGTAGCATCTTTATTTCCAAAACAGTTTTACAAAAGGCTTCTATTTCCTCCTTAGAATACTCACATGAAGGAAGGGGATAAGGATTATTATCCCCCATTACAGAAATACAGAGATCAAAACGGACACAAAAAAGCTAAATGATTTGCTAAAAATTTGCCACGCTGCTTCTGTGGAAGCATAAGAACAAGAGTCCAGGTCTTTTAACTTTTACCTCAGTTCTCATTCAACCACATCTTACCAAGCCAAAAGTAAAAAGTATGCCCAGAACAAGTTACCTCTAATCTACATAGTGCCATGTCTTGATGATCCATCTAGTATAATAATAATCAACCTTAAAGCCCTACTTTGATGCCTCATCATGGCATCCTCAAAGCATCCTGGGTTCTTAAAGGCTGTCAGCAGAGAATAATCCCCAGCTCCACTACGCTGGAAAAGCTCTGAAATAGGCCTGATGTTAGAGGACTAACCCAGCTTAGTTCAGCAGGCCCATCACCACCAGTTTTACTCCAAGGCAATTAATTTTCAACCACAAGTCATCACAGAGAAACTGTCTGCTAAGGCATTAAAGAATTGTGATCTCTGTCAGCAGAGGAAAGACTCACAGCTATGAAATTACAAATTCTCAAAGTATTAAATAAATATGTCACTAGGCAAACTAAAGAATTACTTTCCATCCCTCAAGTACCACTCACAACTGTAAAGAGCTTTAAGCTTTAGAAAATGCTTTCCTCACAACAACCCCATAACGTGGGTAATATAAGTATTATCATCTGTATTCTGCAGATGAAAGGCAGATGAAGTTAAGTAACTTGCCCAAGGTCACACAGCTCACAAATATGGTTAAGATTTGAATTCAGGTGTTCTGACACCAAGACTTGTGCTTTTTGTACTGCACCATGCTAGCGTACCACCTCTCCCTGGCCAGCATTTAGTATGTGCTCAAAAGATACAAATTATTCTTTTTTTTTTTTTTTACTTACCTAAGCAAAACATAATTATCATGTTAAATATGGAGCCAATGAAACTTTATCATGACAAAAGTAAAAGTAATTGAGAATTATCTGTATTCAGAAATATTTATGTCATTAATTCCTTTCATAAGTATAAGTAATTTAGAGTTACCTATACTAAAGCATTCTGGCCTCCACATCTATATTTCATCATTGCTAGAAAATATTTTCCAAACGTTTAGGAGGTAAGCACAATATTGCATGGCATAAATAGGACAACAATGCATTTCAGTAGTAAGTTAACCATACTCTGACAACAATGTTAAACCACAACTTCATTAATATATGCTAAAGATATTAAGTTTGTCTGTCTTCAAATCTGTCCAAGGTAGTTTAGTTAATGAAGCGATGAAAGAACTTCAATATAAATCAATACTAAATAAAAATCATTGAATGAATGAATAAGAATTTATTAAGCACACATGCAAGAAGAAAAAATGACTGTCTATAATTCACAACAGGTATTCCAACTTCAAACAAACACTTAAAGGTAGCATTTAAAGCAGCTATTTTAGCACAGGAATTGGAAAATCAGAAGAAACCTAAAAATATATTAACAGTCTCATAACCAAAAATAGGTATCAAAACACTTGTCAGTAAAACATCCTATAAGTAGAACATGACATTATAGAAGCAGTTAAGCTTAGATGCAGTTGAAAAGATATTTCCTTTGTCTCCACTTCTGTTAGGCTACATTACCCAAAAATAGTGGAGTAGTTTCTTCTAAAGTAGTTTCGTTAGCATCTGCCCCAGCTTCTAAAAGGATTTTTGTTATCATCAAGAATCCTCTACTTGCTGAAAGATGCAATGCACAAGAGCCCTCAAAAGTCTTCATTTTAACATATCTTTCAGATGAATCTGGAAAGAAAAAAGAAAAATTTTTATAACTAGGAAAATATCAAATCTAGTTGCCCTGATTTTACAAAGCAAAGATTTCTTCAGTTGGGCAAAGGGACATTCAAAGAAATTTTTGGTTTAGTGAAAGACAGAACTCATCACAGGCAGAGTCAAGGAAGAGTTCTTGAGGGGTCACAAGTAAGAACTGTAGATCATCAAATAGATATTCAGTAATGGTGGAAAACACAGAAGTAGCAATCTCTAGGCCTAAAACCTAGAACAGAATTCTTTTCTTTCTCTGGCTACAGAATCTGTTCAGTTCATTCTTCTTTAAAAAAATAAATAAATAAATAAGTCACCATTATTGAGAGACTATTATTTTGCTTATCCTCTTCATTGTTATTATCTCATTCCCTTTCACTTCTCTCAGAATCACTTATCTCCTAAGCAAGCCTAGTCAGGCTTGCTTTTTCTCCTAATTACCAAATTCTGCCTTCCTGGGGGGGAGAAGGGGAAGAGAAAGGAGAGTCAGGACATGATGGTCATGTCAAAGCATGGGGTAGAGAAGACAGAAGCAACATAAAAAGTACTCCTTAAAAGTCTTTATTCCACATTTATGTACTAAAAAATATCCATATGGATTTATAATTTCATTGATTTGTATGTACTCTCCAATGATGTGTATTAGAAGCCACTCATGCTTTCCTATCCTGTGTGACCCTTGTCCATGTCTTCCAGTAAGTCCACCGAAGAAGTTCGGTCTGATAATGCTAGAAAATTTCAAATGTTCCTCACATTGTGAAGGCACTAGCATAGAACTCAGGCTGTCTATCTGTCATTCTTCATCCTCGCCACATGACCAGCTTATCTTCTTTTCCTAACATAAATTATCCTAATACTATAATTTACTCCTATTCTTCAAAGTTCCTCATTGGTTATATGGTGAAACCTGTTTACACTTATCATGCATGTCTCCATTGCCCTCTGTGCAATATTCATTTTTAATTCTTCCAATAATGTTCCATCTCACAGTCACACAACTCACCAGTAGAATACTAGTATTAAAAAGATCATCTTTATTTAGGAGAGAGGTCTGAGGTCTTTTATTCCTATGATATCTAGAGTCTTTAATAGAAATGAATGTTGGATTTTTGGTATCTAGTGATATAATCATATTTTATTATATATGTATACACACATCTATACGTGTATATGTATACACACACATATAATTAACATGGTTTAAAATACAGTCTTCCTTATGTTGAACCAACCATTCATTCCTGGTAGAAATGTAAACCTGGTCATAATATAAAATCTTTCTAATCTTTCTGACTGACTGATTAATATGTTGTTTTTGTCTACTTGCTAATGTGTTATTTTAAATTTCTGCATCAATATTCATTAATTAGAGTAATCTGTAGTTTTCTTTCTCTGTTTTGTCCCTCCCTGATTTAGTTATTAAAACTGTATTTGTATCATAGAAAGAAAATGGAAGAGTATCTTGTGTTTTTATTTTTGCAAATTATTTATGTGGTATTGGAATTAACTGGCCTTCATTGGTTGATATATAAGCTTGAGGTCTTTAAAGAAGCTTTGCAATTTCTGAAAGGCAAATCAAACTTGTTCTTCTGTTCAATTCTAGGCCAATTTCATGTACACTTGTACTCTCCATCCCAAAGGAATATATTGATGGTCAAGTACTAGAGGTTCTCCATCCAATCATATGTCAAAATTTGAGCAACAGACATACTTCATTGACTTGGTCTTATCTATGTGAATAGGCAGGCTTCAAACTCTTAAATGATTATGAATGTCTTCTAGGATGCTCTGCAATGTTCGAGCCTTGATTTGGAAAGTAAAATATCATACTCAGAAGGAAGTATTTGAGAACCTCATCCCACAGGGAATATTTCTTCAACTTGGATTCATTTTCTAAATTTCTGTTACAGTGCTGAGCACTTTTTATCAAGGATATATCTTCCTGTTTTATGCCTCACATGATGTTTATTATCACAAAATTGTTAAATAGGGTTATCTCTGTTGTTATATCTTCCAAAGAATATGAAATGATTTTGATGTAATGAAGGATGCTATTAGAAGACAACTTTTAAAGAAGTGTTCTGCTCTACTGAATCAAGTCCTGAATAATTAACAAACAATAAGCACAGTGGGAGACTCTATTCTCCACATCTTTTAGTTAATTAAAAAATGGTAAAGATGTGATTCATTATACAATATTGCTTGCAAAAGTTTCCTACTAATATCTTCATCAGGGACATTATTACACAACTAGTATGTAGATAAATCTCATAAAGGTGGCAAAGTGCTGGGCTCAACTTTCATATCCATCAGCACAAGGCAACTTCCTTGTTGCAACTCCCCATTCCCCCCAATGAAGAATGAAATTCCCTCTGAAAACCTTCCTTCTGACAACAGATTTGACATTTCCTGCTGTATCTGTCCCCAAGGAAAAAAGAGAAAAGTTGATGAGGACCAGAACTTCAATCTCCTGTTGTGTAGGTCTGACATTTATCTTCTGCTGCACTATGTCGTGCCTAATCACCAGTCTTTGAGGAAAAAGGAGAAATGAAATAAGGTCTTCCATCTAACTATGTGCCGTCAATGCCATGCTGTCTTTGTCTCCTGCCTGATCTCCAGCATCCTCTGGAAAGAAGAGTGGTACCTTGCAGTCAATGGTTAACATTCACAACTGGTCATATCTTGTACATCCCAGTCTGAACCTTTATAGGTCATCATCCAAACCCTACTCCCCACACCTACCACCCAATTCCTTATTTCTATCCTGCTCAACCCTTCCATATGTGCCCTCTGGAATGCCTATTCCAATAACCTGCTTTCATCTTAAATCTTTCTCTCTCCTACACCTTCCATGTTCTAGAAAACACTGAGATCTGATAACATGGCTTCCCTGACCACCCCTTCCAGTCGCAGTTATAACTTCATTCATTCCCCTTGGCTCGCTGTTTGAAGCAAAGGAGTTGGAATACTCTTGCTCCCCATTTCTACTTCCAAGTTTTCCTCCCACCCCTAACACTCAGTAACCTCAGTTCAAACTATCTATATCTACCACTCAGTCAAAATCCTGGTACCTGTTCTCTGTAGACTTCCAGGTCATTCCCTCTCCTTCCTCAACAAGTTTAGTACCTGGCTCATAATTTTTCTCTTGTCCTCAACTCCTGCCATCACACCAACAGATTTCAACATACATACTGACTCTCCCTCAAACAATGTAACTGTTCAGTTCCTAAACTTACTCCCTTCCAATGACCTACTCCTCCATCCCATCTCAGTACACTTGCCATCACCTAAAGATGCACCACCTCCATGTTCAAGAATTCCAAAATCCCCTTATCCGACCATAATCTATTAGCTTTCCACCACTTCCTCTGCCTTCTGTTACTAAACCCTACTCTGTCCACACCATGATCTCCAATCCCTCAGCTCCTTGGTTCTCTCCCAAGTCATCCAATTCTGCACTAGTCACTCACAACTCTCACTCTCACACTCACACTGCACTAGCTCTCAGCCCACAGATGGAGGGGGAATCGAGTGGCCAATCAGAGGGGGATCGCAAGAATCTCTTTGCTGGTGCTGAGGCAGGATTCTCTTGCTTTGCCCTTGCTTGGAACTGGGTCACAGTTCTGGGAGGTGGTCCTGGGGCAAGGAGGAGCACTGGCATGGTGGAACTTGTGATGGTGGTGGTGGTGGAGAAAGAATCTTCCTCACAGTTCCAAGGTAGAAAAGACTGCTTGTGGTCACTCATAGATCAGAGCCCAGGCTAGGAAAGGAGTAAACACCTCACCCTTGATCTTACCACCCTGGAAGAATGGAAAATTTACAGGTTCCTAGAAGTATCTCTAAAAACAGCTGCACAAAACCCCAAAGCTTGGGATGGTACATTCTGCACACTGGAAGCAGACCCCTACTTTAACAAAGAGTTTAAAACTCAAGTAACTGCTGGGAATATGAGCAAATAGCTCAAAAAGGTCAGACCATAGAATCTTACTTTGGTGACAAAGAAGATCAAAACATACAACCAGAAGAAGACCACAAAGTCAAAGCTCCTACATCCAAAGCCTCCATGAAAAATATGAATTGGTCCCAGGCCATGGAAGAGCTCAAAAAGGATTCTGAGAAGCAAGTAAGAGAAGTAGAGGAAAAACTGAGAATATAAATGAGAGTGATTCAAGAAAATCATGAAAAACAAGTCAATAGCTTGCTAAAGAAGACTCAAAAAAAAAATGAAGAAAATAACACCTTAAAAAATAGCCTAACCCAAATGGCAAAAGAGGTACAAAATGCCAATGAGAAGAATGCCTTCAAAAGCAGAATTGACCAAATGGAAAAGGAAGTCCAAAAGCTCACTGAAGAAAATACTTCCTTAAAAATTAGAATGGAACAATCAGAAGATAGTGACTTTATGAAAAACCAAGAAATTATTAAAAAAAGAAAAAAGAAATTGTAAAAAACCCAAAGAATGAAAAAATAGAAGACAATGTGAAATAACTCATTGGAAAAACAACTGACCTGGAAAAGAGATCCAGGAGAGATAATTTAGAAATTATTGGATTATCTGAAAACCATGATCAAAAAAAGAGCCTAGACATCATTTTTCAAGAAATTATCAAGGAAAATTGCCCTGATATTCCAGAACCAGAGGGAAAAATAGAAATTGAAAGAATTCACCAATCACCTCCTGAAAGAGGTCCCCAAAGGAAAACTCCTAGGAATACTGTAGCCAAATTCCAAAGTTCCCAGGTCAAGGAGAAAATATTGCAAGCAGCCAGAAAGAAACAATACAAATATTGTGGAAACACAATGAGGATAACACAAGATTTAGCAGCTTCTACCTTAAGGGACCAGAGGGCTTGGAATATAATACTCCAAAGGTCAAAGGAGATAGGATTACAACTATGAATCACCTATCCAACAAAACTGAATATAATCCTTCAGGGGAAAAAATGGACATTCAGTGAAATAGAGGACTTTCAAGCATT